GCCTGTACTTAGTCAATAAAAGTCAAGTTGTCGCGAAATAATTATAATAATATTTTTCAGAAAAATAACTCCGAAATATAAAATAAACACTAAGAATTAGGGAATAAAAAAAAACACGGTTAGTTTAATCTTCAAAAGAATTTGTGGCCGTAGATTCTAAAATCACTTCGGGCGAAACGATTTAATCAACTCAATTCATGCATGCACAGGTCCAGTCTGTCTATCAAGTTTTTTTACTTTTTCTTAGGTAGTGTTTTTTTTTTATTTATATGTCATTTATCTTCTTTTTTTAAAAGTTTTTTTTTCCCGATATTTGTGTCTTATTTTTCTTTCTTTCTTTGTCAGTTTGTATCTTCCTTTCACTCGCTCATTTCTTTCCTTTCTTCCTTTCTTTCTTTCTTTCTTTCTTTCTTTCTTTCTTTCTTTCTTTCTTTCTTTCTTTCTTTCACTCGTTTCTTTCGTTTTTTCTTCTGTTTGTTTCTTCCTTTCTTTTGACAACTTGTATTCTTCCTTTCTTTCACTCGTTTCTTTCTTTCTTTCTTTTTTCTTTCTTTCTTTCTTTCTTTGTCAGCTTGTATTCTTACATTCTTTCTTTCTTACTTTCTTTCTTTCTTCTTTTCTTTCGATCGTTTCTTTCTTTTTTTTCGCTCGTTTCTTTCTTTGTCTGCTTGTTGTCTTCCTTTCTTTCGCTCGTTTCTTCTTTCTTTCTTTTTTCGAAGAACTTTTTCTTCTTTCTTTCTTTTTTCGAAGAACTTTTTCTTCTTTCTTTGCTTTATGTTTCTTTCGTCCTTTGTAGCTGCCATATCATTAAACTTTTTTCTTCTTCTTTCATTTTTTGTATTTTTCCCTTCAAGGTCCCTCACTATCTCTTTAATAGTTATCAACTTTTCCAAAGAAGCTTATTCTTTCTTTCTTTCTTTCTTTTTTTTCTCGTTTCTTTCTTTCTTTCTTTCTTTCTTTCTTTCTTTCTTTCTTTCTTTCTTAACACCATTTTTCTCGTGCTATTATTCATCTTTCTTTTGTTATCAACTTTTCCAAAGAAGCTTATTCTTTCTTTCTTTCTTTCTTTCTTTTTTTTTCTCGTTTCTTTCTTTCTTTCTTTCTTTTTTTTCTCGTTTCTTTCTTTCTTTCTTTCTTTCTTTTCTTTTTTTCTTAACACCATTTTTCTCGTGCTATTATTCATCTTTCTTTTGTTATCAACTTTTCCAAAGAAGCTTATTCTTTCTTTCTTTCTTTCTTTCTTTTTTTTTCTCGTTTTTCTTTCTTTCTTTTCTTTCTTTTTTTTTTTTTTTCTTAACACCATTTTTCTCGTGCTATTATTCATCTTTCTTTTGTTATCAACTTTTCCAAAGAAGCTTATTCTTTCTTTCTTTCTTTCTTTCTTTTTTTTCTCGTTTCTTTCTTTCTTTCTTTCTTTCTTTCTTTCTTTCTTTAGCTCGTTTGTTTGTTTCTTTCTTTCTTTCTCTCTTTATTAACACCATTTCTCTCCTGCTATTATTTATCCTTCTTTTATTCTTGTTCCTTGCGTCAGTTCGTTCCAATTAAAGGCTTTCAAGCAAGTTTCGTTCTTTTTTTTTTTTTTTGTCTCGTTCTTTTAATTCTGAACATAGTTTTCTCTATTTTCCTTCTAAGCATCTTCTTTTCATTGCTCTGAGATCACCGTACTTTCGGCCTTGCGTCGAATCGAAGCTATGCTTAGTAAATCTCTATCAGCCTGTTTCTATCTATCTATCTATCTATCTATCTATCTATCTATCTATCTATCTATCTATCTCCTCGTGTTGTCATCTATCTATCTATCTCAGTTTATGAGAACGTTGTAGGTAAAAAATCCAATACAAATATTTCCGACTTATTGATATTTGATATGGGTAGTATTACTATTACTATTACGACTAATGTTACAGGTGTAAAAACAAACAAAAAACCCCAAAAAGATAAAAAAAAAAAAAACCCACAAAAACAATATGGCACCGAAAAATATTTGTTTGTACCTCTGAGATGAGGTATTATGATTCATTGCATTATTTACATTATTCGGACTGTTATCCTCATCTTCATTGCTATATTCACAACATTTCGGCCGGTTTACGAATCGGTCATCTTCAGGTGATTGGTATTTCGAACTGAATCCTTTATTTCGTCCAACGGGGGTAGATTGTTCTAGTTCCACGTGCCATGCCTTTTCCAGATGTCTCGGTTATTTCCCTTTAACTCATCTCTCCAATTTTTGATTGACCACTGCTGTAGCCTGGATCAAATCAACTTCTTTATCCACTGTGCTATGTTTCCACAAGTGGATAAAAACGTTGATATATCCAGTGGATAAAGACGTTGGTTAGATCCAGTGACTAGACCCAAAGAGTTGTGAGTTCAATACCAAGCCACAGCAGTGGTGAACCAAAAACTTGGAGAGTTGAGTTAAAGGAAATAACTGAGACATCCGAAAAAGGCTGGTAATACTATATAATACTTTAGCTGCAAACAAAGCAGTTGATTCAATATAATCGTTCCATTTCCTGTCTGTGGAAAACATGAGGCCGAGAAAAGGTAGTGAGGTTAGCATCAACCATATTGATGGAAAGCAAATAAACTTTCTTGAATAATGAGCAGTTTCATTTAGGAAGCGTTAAAATGGACAATCCACTACTTGCCCCAGTTTACAACATATTGATGTTCATTTTCGAGATTTTATCGATAATACCAGACTTACAAGAATAAATATGTTTGTCATCAGCATAGATACCGAATCTGGAACTGATGACATCGGGAAGGTCGTTGATAAAAAAGACCAAACCTCTGTTTCTGTTAGATTCCAAAGACCAAAGTGAACGGCCATTTTTCTAGATCTTTTTGAATTAATGCGAGTGTTCTGCGATTCTCAGTTCTTGAACTTACTTTATTCTTTAGTTTTAAGTTCATGAATAGTTCATTGAGGAACGCCCGCATTCATGCAAAAAAAAAAAAAAAATCTAGAGGAGTCGCCGTTCTAGACAACTTTCTTTACGTGGTTTGATTGGAATCTCTATCGACACTGCTCGATCCTGCACTGCTGTCTCCAGATCCCCAATGTCCACCCATGGGTCCCGAACCATGGTGTCTGGGAAAGTCAACATAGAAGACATCTCCAGAAGGATGCCATAGAAGTAAAGATGAGACGTCCTCCCTGTCCGCTCGGTGGAAATCGTTTTTGTTTGAGCTTAAGAGAAATTCATCTCAGTTCTCCGTAAATTGTGTTAAGCATTGCATAGGATCTCCCACTGATGTTCTGGATTTTTCTAAGCAGATTTGTATATGTTCCATCCCGTCATCTCTCAAAGTAAACAGATAATGTCCACATTTCTGATCCATACAGTAGGACTGGTTCAATCAGTGTTTGAAAGGTTTCGATTTTTAAAGAATGCGAAAGGTTTGAGCGCCAAATCTTAGTGAAATTTGTTACACGAATCTATTGCAAGAGCTTTGCGGATGTTGAAGTCTGTTGGGAAATCTATCATGTGAGATCCAAAATATTTGAAGTCCTCAATTCTTTTGATAGATGTATTATTGAGTGACTTCAACTCGGATGGTTCAGGCGAGGTTGTGATATATTCTGTCTTAAATTCCAGTAGAAACCTACCTGGTTCGCTGCTTGATCGAGTGATTGCAGCAAGAATTCTGCTTCTTTGATACATTGAGGAATTACTCCAAGATCATCGGCAAATTCAAGGTCAGCCCGGTATTGTGGGTTAGATGACGTCGCGACAGTTCTTTCAGTAGATGATACAAAATGCGGAACGCCAACACTACCCAAGCAGCCATAGATACCGTGGCACTTCAACTTGTGAAGACCAGCATGCTGATCTCTGTAAAACGCCTTCGAGATATTTAAAGCAACAGCCCGAGTTTCGCCATTCCTATCTAAACTCTTTCAGTAATAACAGTCAAAACATGGCGAAGCAGAAGCCATATCGAGAAGAGATAAAAGAGAAGCAAAGGCCATATTGTTTGTCTGAATGAAGAGCCCCCGACGTAAGATGCCTAACCATTTTGGAGTTGATTAGCACGAGTTTAAGCCGAATTTACAGGGTGATTGAAAAGTAACTCCACATTTTAAAACTTTTATAATTTATTTATTAACTATAATAAAATGGATATGAGAGGAAAGCGTGAGGTTTTATTTAAAAATCGATATAGGCAGCCGATTTCGCTCCGAGCAGGAATCGCGTCAACTGATGTCACCAGGAACTCTTGTGGTATGGAAGACATAACTTCTTGTATTCGCCCTTCAAGTTCTTCCAAAGTCTTGGTTTACTATAGTAGACTTGCTCCTTTAACCAATTCCAAAGAAAAAAGTCACAGGGTTGTAAATCAGAATTACTGGCTGGCCACTCATACATAAAATATGGGGTTACATTTTAATCACCCTACAAACCTATCGTTTCCGCTCTAGTGTAAACCGAAGCTCTGTGTATATTTCGAATCGATTGCCAAACTTATATCTGCTTTTTGGAAACTCTAGTGTAAATTAGACGTATGTTTGCCTTTCTATTAATTCATTGTAATTTTTGTCTTATAAGGTTTACGTTGGTGTACCGTTAAAATTACGTTGGTGTCCCGTTAAAACCAACCCGACCTAACCTAGTTGAACATACTCTGAAAATATTAGATCAAAGTGTATTTATTTTATATTGCTATAACATGAAGTAGTTTAGAAAATACAATAAGATTTTTTAAAGAATTAATTCTTTAAATTTATAATTAAAAAAAGCAAGGCAAAATTTGTATAATGGTTACTATCGACATTATTGTCGTAGCTATTACCATGGCGACAATGGCTGCTGCTAAGTGTATGGCGGGAAATAATTTTAGTACGCTGCATTAGCTGAACGACCGCTGGCGGCCATTTCCGTCTTTTTGCTTTTTAAAGTCTGGTTCAGATTACCGCTTCAATTATTTGAATCTGATTTTTAGGCTTGATCAAAGATTTAGAGAATAATAGAGAAGAGGAAATAATGAGATTATAAAAAAAAAAAGAACGAGAGAAAGAAGACGACTCTATTTATGAGGTTCGTGTGTAAATGCGTAACAAGAAAGACGGAAAGGGACGAGTAAGAGAGAAGGAAAGAACGAAGATAAATTAAGAAAAAGAAGGAAAGAAAGATAGGATGAAAGAATAGCAAAAATAGAAAGAGGGATAGAAAAAGAAAGAAGAAAAAGTAAAAAGAAGATAGAGAAGAAAATGAAGAGAGAAAGAAGCAAGAAAAAGGAAGATACGGAAAAATGCGAATGGAGAGAAAGAAGTCGACTCTATTTTTGAGATTTATGCGTAAAATATGTAAAAAGAACGAAGGAAAGCGAAGAGAAACAGAGAAGGAAAAAGCGAATATAAAGTAAAAAAGAAAGAAGGAAAGAGAGATAGGATGAATGAATGGAAAAAGAAATAGAAAAAAAAGAAGAGAAAGGAAAAGTAAGACGAAGAAAGAGGAGAAAATGAAGATGAAAGAAATAAAAAAGGAACAAGAACGATTTTTAAAAATACGAATAGAAAGCAAATAGTCAACTCTATTTTTGAGATGAAATACGTAGCAAGAAAGAAAGAAAGAAAGAAAGAAAGAAAGAAAGAAAGAAAGAAAAGGAGAACAGAGAAGGAAAGAACGACGATAAATAAGAAAGAAAGAGGGAAGGAAAGATAGGAAGAAAGAATCAAAAAAGAAATACGAGAAATAGAAAAGAAAGAAAAAGTATGAACAAAAGGAGAAAATGAAGAAGGGAAGAAATAAGAAAAAGAAACAATTATTTTGAAAGATTCAAACAGAAAGAAAGCAGTCAAGTTCATTTTGAGGTTACGAGTAAATGTGTAATAAGAAAGAAAGAAAGAAAGAAAGAAAGAAAGAAAGAAATAGAGCTGTCAGAAAGAAAGAAAGAGAAAAAAAGGAATAAAAAGATATTAGAAAGAAATAAAGAGAAAGAAAGAAGAAAAGAAAGAACACAAATCATGGAACGAAGGAAAGAAAGAAAGAAAGAAAGAAAGAAAGAAAGAAAGAAAGAAAGAAAGGGAAGGAGAAAAGAGAAGGAAAGAACGACGATAACGAAAGAGTGAAAGAAAGATGGGATAAAAGAAGAGAAAAGGAAATACAAAGAAGAATAGAAAACGAAAAAAAAAAAAGGAAAAGAAAGAAAAATTAAAAGTATCGATTTTATGAAAAAGACACCCTCAAACGATCAATTCAAAGACACCCTAAAACGATAAACAATTCAATATTTTTTTATTCTGATTAATTTTTCTCCTTAAAAATAATTATTAAATACTAATTTTTAAAGAATTTTTTTTTTAATCCTTTATTTCTTCCGAGTGGACCAATCTACTTCGGCCTGTTGTTCCGGTTCCGGTGATGGGCTGGACAGGAAACTCGTCCCAGCTGGCGTGTCATTACACAGAGACATGAATTACGTGAGCGATCGCCTTAGTTATCTCAAAGCCCTTTATTAAAATGTTCCAATGAGTTTGTCTACACAAACTCTCCGGCAAGACTCCTTCAAAATTACCAAATCATCCTTCTTCAAGTGTCGACGCTAATGCCAAGTTTTCTGAAGCTCATAAGATCAAACGTTTCCCAAGACTATCATGACGCACCGACCATCTTTTCGCTTCATATTAACGATTTGCCTAACAGATCTCTAGTAATGCATGGGATACCCTAGTTTATGAATCTACCAACAAATATAGAAATAACCAGAGCCTGGCAGTCATAGGTATGTCGAGAAACCGTCAGCAAGGCTTTTGATCAGGAGAGTGGATGTCTTGAGGAGCGTGGGAACACCTCCAAATCTACTCTGACAGGCGGTGGTAACAATTGGTAGGGTCCCACATAGTGAAACCCCCAACAAAAACAAAACATTATGAAAGAATAAGAATACATTTTTCTATTAAATAGATACCGACAACACATATTTATAATAAAATTACCAACAATACCTATTTATACTATATATTAAGGCCATGAAAAAAAAGGGCACCACGGGGCGGTGTAATAGTAAGTATGTCCCGCTAGAACATTTACGACTAAATAGTGAGTTCTATCCTCACTGGGTGCCCCATACTTTCGGCTTTGTGCCACGTCTTGGAAAATCACTATATTGGAACGGTGCTCAAATTGTCAAACTCTCCGCCTCGGCGGAGAGGAACTAGGACGAAGCTTTGCCGAAGGGCAAAGTTTCGTCCGGGGAGGTAGACAGTCTCTGAACCCGTTTATACGGATTGAAAGGGAATATTTTTGGCCGAGCTTAGAGGCTCGGAGAACCCACAATAAACCGGCCATGTGCCACATACGACCCACGCGTGTATGGGGGGTGCTAAATATAATGGTTAGCAAGCTTGTTCCGCTAGAACATTTACGACTGAGTAGTGAGTTCGCTCCTCACAGGGGGCCCCATACTTTCGGCTTTGTACCACGTCTAAGCTACGCTTGGGAAATCACTATATATATTTTGGGCACCTCGAGGTGGTGTAACGGTTAGCAAGCTTGTCTCGCTAGAACAATTACAACTGAGTCGTGAGTTCGATCCTCACTGGGTGCCCAATAATTTCAACTTTGTGTCACATCTAAGCTACGCTTAGAAAATCACTATATTGGAACAGTGCTCCAAACCGTTCATTGCTGTCAAACTCTCCGCCTCGGCGGAGAGGAACCCGGACGAAGCTTTGCCGGATGGCAAAGTTTCGTCCGGGGAGGTAGACAGGCCCTGAGCCCGTTCAAAGGGAATATTTTTGGCCGAGCTTACAATAATAATTTACCCACAATAAACCGGCCTTGTGTCACATACGACCCACGTGTGTGTGTGGGGGGGGCGTTAAATATAACGGTTAGAAAGCTTGTTCCGCTAGAGTATTTATGACAGAGTAGTGAGTTCGATCCTCACTGGGTGCCCTATAGTTTCGGCCTTGTGCCACATCTAAGCTACGCACCTCGACGTCGTGTAATGGTTAGAAAACTTGTCTCGCTAGATCAGTTACAATTGAGTAGTGAGTTCGATCCTTACGGGGACACCATATTTTTCGCCTTGTACCACATCTAAGCCGCACTTAGATGTGGCACAAGGCTATTGAAGCCATAAAATTGTATTTAAATATTTAGTTTTCGGCATAGACGTTGATATCCCGCTAAACCAAAAAATCAGAGCCTGGCAACTGATCTCACATCTGACCTAGCTTTAACAGCGCAATGAGGAAAACCAGTGCCCCATCTTTTGTTCTACTCTATTTTTAATTTTCTGATGACATCGGCTCTCAACTTGGTATCTATTCTGAAGACACACCAATTTACTCCTGCCTTGATAGTAAAGCTGATCAGTTCGACAAAACGATGTCCAAAACGAACTCAAGTCCATTGTTAACTGGGGCAAATGATGACTTGTTAATTTTAACACCTCCAAAACTAAACCTCTCTATTAATCATCTGAGAGAATCCTCTCTGACTTCCATCAGCATGGCTGATGCTATCCTCCAGAAAAGGAACCCCTTACGCCTTCTAGGGTTCACGTTCTCTGCTGATATGAAGTAGAAAGACTATATTGAATCCATTGCTTGATCGACTGCTAAGAAAGTCGGTTCACTTTGTTGGGCGAGATAATTTTTCTCTCCAGAATTTATCTTACATATCTATAAGTCTACCATTCGTCCATGCTTAGAATACTGCTGGCACATATGGTCCAGTGCGCCTGCTATTTATCTTTATCTCCTTGATAAGATCCAAAGAAGAATCTGCAATTTTACTAGTCTTGATCTGGCAGCTCAGCTCCAGTCAGTTTCCCACCGCTGTTGCCTCTCTATCCAGGCCTATAGTGTCTGATTGGTTGGGGGGGATTATTTTTTTCTAAACATTTTTTTATTTATTATTTTTTTTATCGCTTCCCAGCTACTATCAGTCTATCCATCTGTATATCTTTCTTGACTATACTGTCTACATTTCCTTATATATTCCTCTCAATTTTTGCGTTACTCCATTTTATCCCATTTTATTTCTCCCTTCTCACCGCCCAGTGACGGGGGTTCAAAGGGACAATAGAGTGGGAATCAAAAGAGGTCTATGCAACCCCACTCCCGACACACGAATAAACTCCCACGCATACTAACCGAAGAAGATGCAAACACGGTCTCACCGCCCACCTGCTATCTAGACATCAGAGATTTCTTTCTCCTTTACGATTTACAATGGCTCATTAATTAAACAGTAGGGTCGGGGTCTGGACTCTGTTTCTCCTCACCCGGGGTATTTCTCTTCTTTTTATTGCTGGCTTGTCTCGGTTATATTTCGCGGAAAGAGGTCTCTTTACTGCGTCTACTACTATTACACCCTCAACTTCTTATTTTAACATAATCTTCACTATGTACAAGGCCCAAGAGCCACTCGAGTTGGAAGGTTACAGGGTAAGAGATAAGAATCACAGTTGAATAGCATATGTGGGGAAGATGACGGTTAACTCAAGAACAGGTTGAGATTGTAGTAATCGGGGGAGTATCCTCTTGGGAGTCGTATCCAAAAACAGCGATCCGTGAGAAAATCTGTTCGAGTGGAACTTACGTCCCACTAATAGAACAACACAGGTTTACGACAGTCGGAAATCGGCGTGGTTCCGCAATGGCGAGTCATGGATCAGGAAAAGGGGCATTTGATGTCCCACAGGGTTTCTTCGAAGGTGCTTGGTTTCGGGATTGATGGAGCTGAATATTTTGAAGATCAACGAAGTAGTCCACATAGAGAGCCACGGGCTGTATAGTGAAGTGAATTATTGAGCGGTAATGACTAAGAAACATACGTGTTATATTTAACAAAACAAGATAAGGAATTTAGTTACAAGTTTATACATTTGGAATTGCCAGTAGCTTGATTCAGGAAAAGGAATCAAATATTTAAAGTTCGCAGTTTCGACGAATTGCCAAGAAGAGAAAATGTATCCCAAACTGTTTAAAACGAATTGAGAGAGTTTGTTTTTCACATAAACGTTATACGTTTGTATTCAACATGAAAAGATATTTTAAGGTACTTAGATTTGAGTTGAATTGAGTTCTTTGATATTGCCCTGCTCTCATTAGAGGCGGATAATTCGTTTCTGCTGACCTTAAACCAGGATAAATAAGATACAAGAAATTTTAATCTTCAAGGTGATATGATAAGTAAAAACTTAATTAATGGACTTTAAAATATGTAATAAACTTTTTTTAATGTGAAAATTAAAAAAAAAATTACTCGCAATTTGAAAAAAAGGTGATATCTGAATACTGACGACATTAATTTACTGAAATAAAAGAACTGTTACCAATTATCTCCTCAAGGACACATGGTTAGATCCACTGACAGGACCCAAAGCGTGAGAGTTCGATACCCGGTTAAGGCAGTAGAGGAATTGAAGAGGGGAATTAACAGGAGATAACTGATAACTGACATCCATTAAACATGGCACGTGGAACTAGAGCAGTCTACCCCAGTGAGTTAAATAAAGGGTTCAGTTCGACGTTCCAACCGCCTGAAAAAGGCCGGAGTGTACATAATATGTTGACAATAATGTTGTAATAAATATGGCGACAAACATGAGGACAATATTCCGAATAATGTAAATAATGTACATAATACCTCATCTCAGAAATATAGACAGATACTGAAGGGCCCAAACGTTGTAATAAATATGACGACAAATATGAGGACAATAGTCCGAATAACGTAAATAGTGTACATAATACCTCATCTCAGAAATATAGACAGATACTGAAAGACCGAAACGTTGTAATAAATATGGCAACAAAGATGAGGACAATAGTCCGAATAATGTAAATAGTGTAGATAATGCCTCATCTCAGAAATATAGACAGATACTGAAGTGCCCAAACGTTGAAATAAATATGACGACAAAGATGAGGACAATAGTCCGAATAATGTAAATAGTGTAAATAATGCCTCATCTCAGAAATATAGACAGATACTGAAAGGCCGAAACGTTGTAATAAATATGGCAACAAAGATGAGAACAATAGTCCGAATAATATAAATAGTGTACATAATGCCTCATCTCAGAAATATAGACAGATACTGAAGGGCCCAAACGTTGTAAGAAAAATGACGACAAAGATGAGGACAATTGACCGAATAATATAAATAGTGTACATAATGCCTCATCTCAGAAATATAGACAGATACTGAAGGGCCCAAACGTTGTAATAAATATGACGACAAAGATGAGGACAATAGTCCGAATAATGTAAATAGTGTACATAATACCTCATCTCAGAAATATAGAGAGATACTGAAAGGCCGAAACGTTGTAATAAATATGGCAACAAAGATGAGTACAATAGTCCAAATAATATAAATAGTGTACATAATGCCTCATCTCAGAAATATAGACAGATACTGAAGGGCCCAAACGTTGTAATAAATATGACGACAAAG